AGTTATTTATCAACATGTTTTTATTTATGAATGAATACACTGCTCTTATCAGGGCACCATGCATGGAATGTCTATACCTATGTTTACTGATAAGTTTAGAGCAGAATTTCAAGCCAGCTCATATTGAAACGGATCATTTTTGTTTACACTGTTTTGCGTCGTTTTTCAGTGAACTACAATTATTTCATAATTTCTCTTCTTCATTTACAAAGGAAATAAAAACAAAAAAACAAGGAATAAATTGCCAATAAATAAAAACCAAAATGCTTTTATCGAGAGCACCGAAAATATAGCAAATAAAAACGATTATATTGTTGTAGAAGGGCTTCCGATTGTTTAATAGACATTTTAGAAAAGTCGTCTACACGCACTCTTATACTGACACCGGTACGTACACGGACTCAAAAATAGAGGGACCGTATACAAATTTCGAAATATACTACATTTTTGAATAACCTCCTAAACGTGGTATGCAATACATATGAATACTCGCATTAGTTTTTGGTTTTTTTATTGATGGATTTGTGATATTCCATCTATTTGTCTTTCTAATTGTCGAATCATACTTTCGATTACCATGTTTTAGCCAAGGTTTTACCACCGCATCCATGTTTGAAGCCTGATTTGCTGATAGGGACGGTTTATGGGGGAAGGGTAACATTAATCTCTGGTGGCGGAGATGGATCGGCAGAAACGTCGTTTGCTGCGTCGTCATCTTCACTTTCGTCATTGGAAAGATTAGCGACGACTTTTCTTTTTTCTCATATGTTTTTGGAATTGTTGTTAGCCATTTAGGTGATATATGTTTATACAATCTGGACACCAGAACGACTCCCAACAATTAATGACTAATAGGTCAATTTTCGGCTTATCCGATGACTTCTTTTTTTAGCAGACAAAATTTATCCCAATCGGTAGCCTATATAATATAATTACTTCATATACACGGCACCAAATTGCTCGTCAACCTGTCATATAAAGGGAAACTGCAGGACATTCAATAAACATACAATTAGCAAATTGGAGTGCTGTAAAGAATTTTGGACACTCTGGAGTCACCAATAAACAAATTATCTGCCATTACTGATTCATATGCAGGCTTTGTTTATCGTCTACGTCAGTAGCTAAATAAAGTATCAACTCATATATAAATCTATACGTTATCATTTACATTTTCTTTTTTCTGCATAAAGTTCTAATAATTTACACAAAGTCCACCTTTTTTTTACAAAATGGAATTTGAAAATCGGTCAATTGTCACCTACTCAGCTGAGCGAATCAAGTAACAAATCATTGAAAATACTTTTTATACAATATCTAATATGTATATTGATAGAGAACGAAATAGACAACAATTATAATTTCAAATTTTCATTTCTCGATCACAGCTTGTTTTATGTTTACAATGTCTAAGTGTCTTAACTGATGAATGACAGTTTAAAGATCCAACAATGGCAATCGGACATTTTTGTTTGTTTTGCTTAACTGCATTTTTAGTTTAAGTTAATGCAGTTTCGTTTGTTTGCACACCCAATTCTGTTTTTAACTGGACTTTTGAAAAGAAGTGAATATCGTTTTACTCAGTTTTTACATTTCACATATTTTCCGTTGAAAATTTTAAAATTATGAGAACTGTAGTTCCAACTTATTCAGGCAAAGTTGACATTAACCATGTTTATTGTTTATTGCTATTCCTTTAGTTTACTCTTGGTTATATAATTCCATGAGAAGCTTTCTTCAGGTCAATAATTTAAATGTATTTTCTAGATAGAAATAATTAATAAGTTACATATAAATATATTAGAGCTGGACTTAATTTGAAATATTTCTTGAATTCTTTTACAATATTTAATAAACTTTGCCTGTTTGTCTATCAGTTGATGATTAATAAACTTTGGATCTTCATTTCACTATAGATTATATATAAATTTTAAGTTACATTCGTTTGATGTGTTTGAGCTTTTGATTTTGCCATTTGATAAGGCACTTTCCATTTTGAATTTTCCTTGAATTTGGTATTTTTTTTATTTTACTTCTTATTACAATTTATACAGTTTCAATGAAGATGGGATAACTTTAACAACTCATAACCAGTCGTGCAATCACAATTCAGTAAAATTTATACGATAGGGAATAGGAAACATACGATAAGATTAACAAATCAGACAATTTTTCTGGTTTTTGTAAATCTTACACACACACACACACACACACACACACACACACACATCGTATCTTTTAACTAATTCATGGCAGTGACTGTCATACTGATGTAGTGCCGATTTACTTTGGTCTTCCATTTCACATAACTGGAGATTTCGTGTCAGGAGCGAACCCTTCTAAGGAGGTCCACAAACTGTAAGCATGTTACTGCCGAGGAATATGAAGTTGTCGAGGGTAAAACTTGAATCGGCATGTTTGTCATAGATCCTCGATTGGAGTCGTCAATCAGCGTAATTTTGAAAAAGGATATTGAGAAATTGAAATGTGTTGTTTTAACATTGACGTAATCAGGTATTGAATGCTCAAAGGTTTTCGAACAGAGGATAACAAAGCATTAAAAACCTCCACTATCAATTTCATCATTGCTTCTTAAAGCAATAGTTGTTGCTTATTCATTAATACAGAATTTTCCTTTTCTCTTTGAAAGCGTGTACTCAAAATGGGTTATTTGTTGATTGGTGAATTTTAACTGTAACCCTTATATCGAAACAATGAAGTGGTCACGCTGGATAAAGTATTAATAGAGAAATTAATTGATTCCTGGATAACTAACATTAAACCTGTAATCATCCATTCTTTATTGTAGTATTTGCCTTGTTTCACCGACAAAGCTTAGTTCATAAAGAGTACATTCAATACCGTACACAGTATTGGATACAAAACAATTAATGCCCAATCAGGCATATGCGATCTACTGTTGGAATGTTATCCTTTTTTCCGGTAAATTTAACATGTTTAATAACAAAAAGAAATGATTTTTTTGTTGGAATGCATTATTTTTGTTCTATTAGTTAAAAAAAAGGCAACAAGGAGAATCATTGAACTCGTCTAAAGATTAACTAATATAAATGTTTAAATGACTTGGTTATTGTAGAAGTCGTATATAATTTCATGTATGAAAGGTTTGAATGGAATCAAAACAATTCAGAAAAAAATTATCTGATCTTTCTCAATTCTTATAATCATCATTATCGTCTTAGTTGTTTGCATGAAGTGTGTGTTTGTTGATTTGCATATTAGGACTTTTTTTTCTATATGCACATATTTATTGTTCGACGGACTACAACTTCATACATGTATATTATATTAAGTTTTGTGTGTTTTTTTTATGATAATAAAACAAAGAAACATTATTTTCTGTTAATAACTGTTTTATTTTCTTTTCAATTGCAATTTTGTCAAAATCTCTTCCACAATCCCCAATAATTCTGAGAAAATACTATTTTAACTTTACATTTTTGTTCATATCTTGTGTTACAAGAAATAAAATTGTTCAAGTCTTGTTAAAACCCATATGAAAACGATACATATAAAAACTAGGGACTCTAAAAAGACGTTGCCGCTCACCTAAATATATGTGCATTGTCAACAATAATCTCCAACATTATCGACTAGAACATTAGTAATGAAAAAGTATATTTTTTGTTGACAAACTTATGTCGTTTACAGTTTCTTTCATCTATAGTTTTTGGCCATAAGGGAAAAAAAGGGAAAAATAATTCATCATTCAAGTCAATAATTCATATAAGGACTAGATTAACTTATTTGCAGAAACTATCTAGCTTATTGTTTTTACTGTTTTATTTTTCTCTTTAACTATATAAATAATCAAATGTGGTATGAGTGCCAATGAGACAACTCTCCATCCAAGTCACAATGTATAAAAAGTAAACAATTATAGGTACGGCCTTCAACAAAGAGCTTTATAGTATAGTTTTTGTTGAAAGCTCAAACAAAAGGTAAAAATCCTCATTTAAGGGTAAAAACTCCTACAAGTAGTTATCGAAGATTTGGCCATGTTGACTTTTTTTTGTCTTGCTAATCTTTTTGCTATATTTTTTTTTATATCAATTATAGTTTTCAATGTAGTAATCAAACTTGAAAACATGGCCATACCAGGACAAAAACTTCTTAAAGGAGTCAAATGACGAATTCGGCAGTATTGACTCGTTAGTCGATCTTCCCGTGCTGATTATTTGTACAGTATAGAGTTTATTTCAAACTATTATAACAGGCTCAATTGCAAAAAAGTTTAACAATGACTATGGCAATAATAGTTTACTGATGTTCACATCTCGTATCTCGATAAGAGTAGCCAAATAAATGTAAAAAAAAAAAAAAAATAGTGAATGGCATGTACTCGCAGAGGATGTGGTACTACTGAGAAATGGAAGTTAACTAGCTGAAAGTTGAAATAATCGCGTTTGATACATGTTCTAGCTTGAAGTCGAGAAAAAGAGTAAGATACTTCTACTTTTTGTAATATCCTTAATCATAAGTTTACTGGGAAATGTGAGATGTAAACACTATTTGAAATGTTTGTTATTGAGAGACAGGATAGTATCCCTGTCTGAAAGTTAAATTAAAAAACTTTTCAAGATGTTTTTTCTTTTGACCCTTTTGACCAGGTGAGCTAATAGGAAGATGTGGTATCATTGCCAATATGACAACTGTCAACTAGAGTAGAAAATACGTGATGTAAGCAACCATAGCTGTTTTGTTCCAATTTCTAACTTCGTATTACGAAAGAAAGCACAACAGCAAATATTTAATATTTGTGTACAATACTCGTTAAACTTATTTAAAACAACCATCTGATCATCTGATTTATAAAATTCGACAAACGATCTGGTTTTGAAATGAAAAACTTGTTGTAGAGATCACAAACGTAGTTGTTAAATAATTTTAAAGGTAACATATACAAATAACTACAAATGGTGTACGTGTTTGTCAAAATGTTATATAAGTCGCATACATTTATATTTGTTTTACTTCAGAAAAGCAGTGACTGGAACTACAAGGTAGGTTTTAACTGTGCTTTGATTAATAATATCCTTTCATAGTTTTGTTAAAGAAATGAACACCATGAGGAACATTAATCTTCAATAAACCTTGTTATTTTAGTATTATTTTTAATATGAGGCGTCTAGTTGCATACATTACATGCATAATAAAGATGATAACACGAAAGTCATATACTCTATTTTTACTAGAGATATGCTTTAGTTAAACGTTTTCCAATAAATTTAAACATGTTTCTCTAATTCTTCGTCAATTTATCCCTTTCTGCACCCATTGTATAAAAAAATTTAATCAACGTGTGGTTCGCTTGATCTCAGTTCTTCATTGGTTAAAATCCGATTATGACGTCGAATTTACTTGCTTTCCTCTGAATTTCCTATTGTGACGGCATGAAAAAAGGCGACCATGCCTGATGACGTCACATAGAAAGAACACATGTTTTTTCAGATCATTCGAAAAAACGGAATAAGTTTGCCTGCATATTGTTTGAAAATCATTAGAGAAACAGATTTCACCACCAAATCTCGTGTAATACGATATTTATCCACTCTCGACAGTTAAATTTTAAATATTTAAAACGCTCGGCGTATCACACTCGTATCACACTCGATGCAGTGGTAGAATCTATATTTAACAAGGTGATGGTCCGCAAAAATATATATATTATGTTTTATGATTGGCAATGAGCACTAAGATGTAAACAACTGAAGGTCACCACAAACCCTCAACAATGAGTAAAACACATGTCACCTTCACGGACGAATTTGTTCCTTATGGGTTAGATATTGTCTTAGCGTTCACTTCTACATACATCTTGATTGCAAAGTAAAAGGAAACACATAGCTTCAAGTCTAAGATTTGATTCGGTATGTGATTATATAATTTCCCCAATCGTAATCATACTTGATATTTACGCTATTGAAGAAAACAAATATCATTTCGAGGAACGTTATACATATAGACACATAATTGATTTTCACCCAATCCTTTTCTAAGGTTAGTACGTTGTTCCAAAAATAGTCAGGGAAGATCTTTTAACTGTGCTTTGATTAACTGCAATATCCATTAAATGAGGGTTCCTACAGATTTGAAAACATAAACAAGTTATATAACAGGAACTTCAAGGTAAACGTAGTTTTCACTGCATTTGATGCGCATTTCTTTATAATCCTCATGTCGAATATCCGAATGAGGTGTAGATGGTTAGATTATCTAGTGATTATAATGTTTAAATTTTCGGTCGATGAAATAGGCCACTAGTATTTAAAACAGCTAATATTTTGATTGATATAACGTAAATTGATAACTTGGTGTTTGGGCATGCACATTCTATCAACCAAATAGGTATTTACATATATGTGTAGTTTTAATTGACAATTAAAAAGATATTCCGATTGCAGGAATTCAGACAGCTAATCATGAGTGAACCAACCGTTATTGTGACACAGGTAAATAAATCTGTCATTACAAAGTAAGATAAATAGAAAAAATATAACCAACCAAAGTAATAGATGAAACATCAAACAAGAAAAATAACAAGAGGATACTGTATTGCCTTTTTTTGCATTGAGGTAAAGTGCCAAAAGTACATGAAGTATATGAAAAATTTTGTCGTTTATTATTTAAGCGGAATCATAATTTCGAAATAATTGTGTTTGCGAACGCTGAACTTTAGGAAAATAAAAAGTAAGCCAAGCAAATATTTTCTTTATTCATAAAGTTTTAAAGGAATATTGAAAAGGTATGATTTACATGAGTCAGTAATACTTATAAATTGTCAATTATTTTATTGCTTACTCATAAAAGAGAGAGGCGAAAGATGTGTCATGCAGAATATAGGTAAGACATCTGATTTGGTTATTGATCCTCTCTGTTGTTATGTATACATATGATTAATATGATTACTATTCTATAAGTCATTGGTGTACAACACGCTTAAGAAGTGCAAATGGTTTCGGTTAATAAAATCGTATACAGGATGCAAGACAATTATATTTGATAAACACTTATATTTGAGATTTGACATGATTTATAACATAACTTTAATTATCTTTTGGTAAATGCAGAAATTATTAAAAAAGGTTCTAATCCTCTGAGTCAAAGATGACCTTAGATAAAGTTGGCTATTACATTCAGGTCCCTTTTGGTCATATAGCTTTTTACATTTACAGGTACTTAAACAGTCGTAGCTTTCAAATTTTGGGTTTCACAATTTCCGATGAATCGACGAAGGTTTATCAAGAAAATCGCTTCGGACGCAGCACAGATAATAAGTGTTATTTTCATTGATCCTTAAAGTTAAAAAAAAAACAACTCAATTATAACAACCGACACCTTCCCGAAGTGCTATAGCCTAACTTTTCAGACTGTAACAAGAAATGCACAATGGGTTCTGTACTTTTATTTCAGACGACTAACATCATAGGAAATGTAAAAAAAAACTCTATACCGCTGTTCGAAACTCATAAATCAATAGATAACAATGTCTTTAAAAACCAACAATCTATAAAAAGTAAAACAACAAAAATACCGAACTCCAAGAAAAATTCAAAACAGAAAGTCCCTCAACAATTGGTAAAATCAAAAGCTCAAACACATCAAACGAATGGAAAACAACTGTCATATTCCATAAAATATTGTCAAGAATTCAAGATCATGTATTCTTATGTATTTCACAATTTTCATACACATGTTTCTAGTAACTAATATATAATTCATAGATGATTCCTTTGTAATAGTGTCTCTAAAAAAACACATTATGATTTGATCAATTGACGATAAACATTGACAACTTTTCATTGTATGGTCTGACGTACAAACTTTAATACAGTTACATATCGATAAAGACATTGATGTTAATCACAAAACTAAATAAAAAGCGTTAGAAGGCCAAATATAATGGAAAACAAGAAATTGCATTCAAATTATAATGGTGACGTTGTCTATTGAACTTGTATATACCGACACGATTCATATGCGATTTTTGATCCTTTGAATACACTCATTCTTTAAAATTCAATCTAACACTTTCGTAAGATCTTAATATTTTGTCTTTATCGGTACTTATAATGAGTTTTATTTAGTTATTTATTATTCACATATATACACATTATTCACCATCCAGCTAAAACACTTATACGCGCGTTTCGTCTTCAAAGGACTCTTTGTTGAAGTTATAATAAAAATGCTTAAAAGGACAAATTAAGTAACGAGTGTAAACTAAAACTGATTTTGACACCAGCATATAAATGAATAGACGAAAAAGATTCTTTCTGATCATAACACGAGTAGAATTGAGACAGATAATACAGAATTCCGTGCGAATGTCACGCGTTTTAAGAATAGTCTTAGTCAGGTATTCTCATTTTTTTTTTGTATAAAAAGCAAAATTGCTAAACAATTATGTTAGAGTTACACTAAAAATGTATTATTTCACTCATTTTACTTCACGCAGTCTTGTGTCTAGGTTGTGGGTTTTCTCGGTGACCATTAATAAATGTTATTTAAACAAAATTAAAAATTACTTCTACACTCACAGTAAGTATATTTAATCATGCCAATACCGAATCCTTGACCACCATGTGAATGACACTATCCCCGTAGAATAATTCATCAGAGGCGGAATCGACATTCTAAACTCTTAAGTCGGGACAATCTGACAAAATCAAGAACAAAAAGAAAAACGACGAAAGATAAGCAAGTTTATAGAAAACGAAAGACGAACCAAACCAAAAACTTGGGGTTATTTTAAATACTCTTGATCGGTTAGTAGATCCTGCTTTATTTGTGGCACCTGTTGTGTTGTTCATAGTAAATGCTAATGCGGTGATGAGCTCCTTCGGTGGTGTCAACAATCGACGAAAAGAGGATGGGAGAATGATTATAATAATTGGAAGATAATTTGACACAGATTAAAAACAAAATTTTGCTCTTGATGTATATATATTTAATCGATATTATGCATCAAATTAACTACATTGATTAATTCTAGAGGTTACTATCATATTTATTTAAATAAATGAAATATATATATATAAATAGATTGAATGCTGATTGTTGCTGTTTTTAGACATTATATATATATATATATAAATATAGATTGCCTAACAATGTAATTTTAACACACTATTTAGTATGTAAATATAAGAATGTTTAAAATATTTACAAAATGATGAAAATAAACGCAATATTTCGCTAGACTAACTAGCTTTATCAAGCGTGCATCTATCCAGGTGAAATCGGATGTAGATGATAAGAAACTTTTGCAGCTCAATGTATATGTTGCACTTGAATTTAGCTGCCTTGAAAATAGTACATAATTTGGATGAAGTTCAAGATTTTTACAAAATTGGTAGTTGAAGTTAGCAACGTCCATTGGCCAATATTACAGGATAAAAAGGACGACGCTGTGTACTAAATTATTCTTCATCTTTCCTGTATCTTTTCTCATCTTTTTCGTTAAGACCATCAGGTTCTAAAGTGTGGAGTTGGTGGATCCAAAAATTTTCTCTTCTCCTTCTTGCCGTGGTGTCCCACTCAGTGTTGACTTCTATGATTTGGAAAGTAACATTATCAAAAGAATGTTTCGTTGAACGAAGATGTCTTGTGAGGGGACAGTTTTTGTTAGTTTTGTACCATGAACGATGGTTATTGAGCCGAATATTAAATTTGTCCATTGTTTCTCCCACATACTGAATGCCACAAGTGTCACATGTTAATATATAAATTGAGTTCTCCGTTTTACAGTTGGAATTTGAGTAGATGGTATAATTTTGTTTAGTAACGCAGCTGATGAAAGAACTGCTTGTATTGGCAGCTTTACAACACAAGCAGTTCCTTCGACCACATTGTTTGTAGCAACCGGGAGATGGAGTAGGCTGCTTTGCTAATACAGATGTCACTAATTTGTCACGGATGTTTTTAGGTCTTCTGAAGGCCATGACTGGTGGTGAGGGAAATACTTTTTCAAAGCTTTTTTGTAAAGCTGCCAATACAAGCAGTTCTTTCATCAGCTTTTTTTATTGAAGATTAATGTTCCTAATGGTGTTCATTTCTTTAACAATTATCAAAGGATATTATTAATCAAAGCACAGTTAAAACCTACCTTGTAGTTCCAGTCACTGCTTTTCTGAAGTAAAACAAATATAAATGTATGCGACTTATATAACATTTTGACAAACACGTACACCATTTGTAGTTATTTGTATATGTTACCTTTAAAATTATTTAACAACTACGTTTGTGATCTCTACAACAAGTTTTTCATTTCAAAACCAGATCGTTTGTCGAATTTTATAAATCAGATGATCAGATGGTTGTTTTAAATAAGTTTAATGAGTATTGTACACAAATATTAAATATTTGCTGTTGTGCTTTCTTTCGTAATACGAAGTTAGAAATTGGAACAAAACAGCTATGGTTGCTTACATCACGTCTTTTCTACTCTAGTTGACAGTTGTCATATTGGCAATGATACCACATCTTCCTATTAGCTCACCTGGCCAAAAGGGTCAAAAGAAAAAACATCTTGAAAAGTTTTTTAATTTAACTTTCAGATAGGGATACTATCCTGTCTCTCAATAACAAACATTTCAAATAGTGTTTACATCTCACATTTCCCAGTGAACTTATGATTAAGGATACTACAAAAAGTAGAAGTATCTTACTCTTTTTCTCGACTTCAAGCTAGAACATGTATCAAACGCGATTATTTCAACTTTCAGCTAGTTAACTTCCATTTCTCAGTAGTACCACATCCTCTGCGAGTACATGCCATTCACTATTTTTTTTTTTTTTTTTTACATTTATTTGGCTACTCTTATCGAGATACGAGATTTGAACATCAGTAAACTATTATTGCCATAATCATTGTTAAACTTTTTTGCAATTGAGCCTGTTATAATAGTTTGAGATATACTTTATACAGTACAAATAATCAGCACGGGAAGATCGACTAACGAGTCAATACTGCCGAATTCATCATTTGACTCCTTTAAGAAGTTTAGTCCTGGTATGGCCATGTTTTAAAGTTTGATTATTACATTGAAAACTATAATTGATATAAAAAAAAATATAAATAGCAAAAAGATTAGCAAGACAAAAAAAGTCAACATGGCCAAATTGTCGATAACTACTTGTAGGAGTTTTTACCCTTAAATGAGAATTTTTACCTTTTGTTTGAGCTTTCAACAAAAACTATACTATAAAGCTCTTTGTTGAAGGCCGTACCTATAATTGTTTACTTTTTATACATTGTGACTTGGATGGAGAGTTGTCTCATTGGCACTCATACCACATCTGATTATTTATATAGTTAAAGAGAAAAATAAAACAGTAAAAACAATAAGCTAGATAGTTTCTGCAAATAAGTTAATCTAGTCCTTATATGAATTATTGACCTGAATGATGAATTAATTTTCCCTTTTTTTCCCTTATGGCCAAAAACTATAGATGAGAGAAACTGTAAACGACATAAGTTTGTCAACAAAAAATATACTTTTTCATTACTAATGTTCTAGTCGATAATGTTGGAGATTATTGTTGACAATGCACATATATTTAGGTGAGCGGCAACGTCTTTTTAGAGTCCCTAGTTTTTATATGTATCGTTTTCATATGGGTTTTAACAAGACTTGAACAATTTGATTTCTTGTAACACAAGATATGAACAAAAATGTAAAGTTAAAATAGTATTTTCTCAGAATTATTGGGGATTGTGGAAGAGATTTTGACAAAATTACAATTGAAAAGAAAATAAAACAGTTATTAACAGAAAATAATGTTTCTTTGTTTTATTATCATAAAAAAAAAAACACAAAACTTAATATAATATACATGTATGAAGTTGTAGTCCGTCGAACAATAAATATGTGCATATAGAAAAAAAAAACGTCCTAATATGCTTCAACTACCAATTTTGTAAAAATCTTGAACTTCATCCAAATTATGTATTATTTTCAAGTGCAACATATACATTGAGCTGCAAAAGTTTCTTATCATCTACATCCGATTTCACCTGGATAGATGCACGCTTGATAAAGCTAGTTAGTCTAGCGAAATATTGCGTTTATTTTCATCATTTTGTAAATATTTTAAACATTCTTATATTTACATACTAAATAGTGTGTTAAAATTACATTGTTAGGCAATCTATAATTTTATTTGTGTAATTGAATTAATCTCTGTACTGATTAATCCACACTCCCATATATTTGTATGTCATGTGCTGCTATTTATAGGCACTTATATATATAAATATATATATATATATGAGACTAGAGTTTGAAATGACTTGTTTTATATCTAAGTAATTCAGAGGCAACAGTTTTATAACAATGTTCAAAACAAATTTATCAATACTCAATATATAAACCAAGATAAGTAAATTGGGTAAATCGTACAAACTGAAAATGGAACGAGATTGGACTCGTCGACATGGTAATCGCGCTTTGCTATGTATGCATCACTCGTCAGCAATGAGTCACTTTCTGAAGGTGCTCTATGGATATTTTATTTGACCTGTATTTGACAACGACTCCACTAGTTTACACGAAATATTTTATTGGGTTTTCAGTGTCTGTAATGTTATGAGATTGTAATTATTATGATTATTTATCTTGGCCTAATTTGTTTTGTTCTGCCTTATAAGATGTTTACATAATTGGGTAGTGATCTATTTGTAAGTGTTTACAAAATAATGTTATTGTGCAGTTAAGAAATCACTTGAACAATCGTAGATACTGGTGGAATGATTAGAACTTTCTATTTGACTTGCATATCAATTCGAGAATGATCATAATCTATCATGCGTAATTTAAATGTCTACAGTGTTCTAAAAGTTTCCGTGGTAACTATAAATACAGACACTGAATTTGAGAAATAAAGAAATATTCTCAGAAGATTTTTGGAGTTGTTGGATTGACACTTTAATTTACCTTAAAAGCATCATACTAGTTTGTGAACCTATATTATATCTATTCCGTTGGATTCCGGTACCTTTAAGAGAAGAAATCCGGATAAAGAAAAGACTAGGATTTCGGACATTCAGATATTTTTACATTTAAGTTGACATTTCAATTTGTATAACATGTATAATATTTCTTGTAAAATTGTATAATAAAACTTGTTAAATTTTATTATTATTGATCTTTGTCTTTTTTTTTTGCTAAAATGTAAAGTTGATTTCTGGTCATAACAGAAATTGGGGGCTCGTCCGGGATAACGTAAATATAAGATTAAAAATTTTCAGAGTAAATAGATTTTCAGTATTTTATTGAATTAGAATTAGCCAACAAAATTCAAGAACATTGCATTTGATGCCAGTAAAATTTTAAAAACGCCAGACCTGGAGGGGTTGGATAAATTAAAGAAAGAGGAATTAGTGTTGCTTACTGAACATCTAAAATAGATTTTAGAGTATCCATGAGAAAACAATTGATAAAAAAATTGGTAATAGACAAATTAGTTGACACAGAAATGTTTGGTGAAGAAGCTTTTGAACTAAAGGTAGAAAATGTTGATGCTATCAAAATAAAACAAAAATGAATTAGAATATGAATTTAAATTAAAACGATTAGAAAAAGAAGATGAATTTAAATTAAAACAATTAGAAAAAGAAGACGAATTCAAATTAAAACAATTGGAAAAAGAAGTTAAATCAAAACAGTAGAAAAAAGAAGATTAACAGACATAACTTGAAATGAAAGATTAGAGATGGAGAAAATAAAAATAAAAATGGCCAAAGTAGAAAGCAACTCTAAAGTAGAGTCAAAATCAGAACTTTTTGGGGCACCAAAAATATACGTTTGGTTCCCAGATTTTCTGATAAAAAGTTGATAAATATTTTTCACAGTTTGAGAAAATTGTTCAAAATTTGAAACGGCCAAATCCTTATTTGACTACAATGCTGCAAAGTGTTTTTGTGGGCAAGGGCGCTAAAATTTACTCAGCACTTTCTTCAGAATTTTTTTTTGTTGAGTATAACACTGTAAAACAGGAAGTTTTGAATGGTTATGAGCTAGTGTCGTAAGCATATAGACAAAAATTTAGGTCTTATAAACAGTTTGAATCACAAACCTTTGTTGAATTTGCTAGAGAAAAAGAAAATTTATTTGAAAATTGGCTTACGTCAAAGAAAATAGATAACAATTTTGATAACATAAGACAGTTTATGTTATCATAAGAGTTTAAGCAGTGTGTTTCGTTTGGACTTAAACACAAATTTAGATGACAAAACTGTTGAGAACTTGCAAGATGCAGCTGTTGCTTCCGATAATTATAACCTTTCACATAAAAGAAGTTTCGAAGGTCAACATTTAAGAACTTCGAGCGGAAAGTACAAAACTCAAAGTACAGAGCGTGCTGATAGTAAGCATGTTGAACAGAATAGGACTCAGTCTAGTTATACCATTTCTAGTCCAAAATCTGACCCTACACTGACCTGTGCATATTGTAAGAAAAATGGTCATGTAATAGCTGATTGTTTTAGACTTCAGAGACGGAATAAAAGTGATATTAACCCAAAGTCCAGTGCTTATACGACACCCCTTCTTACCAATAAGTTATATTGTCCTGCAAGTTAAGCTTTTAAGTCCAGTTTTGTGATTATAAATCCTTTATGTCTGATTGGTTTGTTTTTCTTGTTAATGATACTACTCCTCAGCCCATTAGGATTTTACGGGTCACTAGAGCTTCCAGGAATTTATTGTTAGAAGGTGTGTTGCCTTTGTCTAGGAGACTCTTGTTGTTGCCTCCGTTTTATTACAGGGTGTGGAGTAAGGCTGTATTAATGTTTCCCTCCGTCGTATTTATTTGCAGTCAGATTTAATGACTAGTACTGGACCAGTTGTTGTAGGTGTTCGTCATAATCTCCATGTTGATGGTCTTTCAATATTGCTAGGGAAAGTTCTAGCTAGGTTGCTGAACCAATTGTTACCAGTGAACCAATGGTGGATGTTAAATCACCTATAAATGATGCTGAACTGTATCCAGTTTGTGTTGTTACAAGGGCGATGGCAAACAAAATAAGGATTGACAAGAAGACAAGGGTGATTATATGGACCTTTCAAACACTTTCCTTGCCGACATTGAAGGTTCCTGTAGCTCAGAAAAGGCCATAATAAAACCACATAGTAACAAGCATGTACGTATGCCATGGCCAGACGTGAAAAGTCATTCATTAGACAGAAGAAAGTATGCACAGAGCAAAATAAAGACTCTGAGGTTCTTTGGATCTGCAGGAGGAAGCAGACAAAGTGGCCGAATGTTACTTCCTTCAAGACGGCATTTTAATGAGGAAATGGAGGCCCCTGATTCTTTCAAAGAGGAGGAATGGAGAGTAGTATACTAAGTACTGGTGCTTTAAGTATGTAGCCGGCAAGAAATTATTGGTCTAGCCCATGACACCCCTTTGGTCGGACATTTAGGTATAAGAAAGACTTGTCTTAAGATCTTGCAACATTTCTACTGGTCCAAACTTAAGGACGATATATAACATATAGAATACCCTTTATGTTGGCCTTTTCACATCTTCAAATAATCATTTACCTCTATTATTTCAGATTTCTCACGTTTTCACCTCTGTTGCAAAAAAATATTGCTATTCTCATATGATTCTTTAATTACTGAATTGACGTTTATGTGTGATAGGATTTGTATTAACAATCGGACATTTGAGATATACATTTTATCGTACAGAAAGGCAGTTACATCAACGCAAAACTCAGACTATTAAATTCTTTTGATAATTAAGGTATTATGATAATTTCAGGAATATTCATACAATGGAAAGCAGAACAAACAGAAAAAAAGATGGCAAAATCATGGCAACCCTCAGGTTTTTATATTTTTTATATTAAAGACCCAACTGAAAAAAATAAGTACCCCCAAACTGTTTAGAAAACTCTTTTTTTCAAATTAATTCAAACATGACAAATATATTGATCTATTTTATCTTTTTCTTTTATCCGAAGGGTCAAGAGAGTTATTCTCATCACTTAATTGGTGTCCGTTGTCGGTCGTCCGTCGTTGTCGGTAAACTTTTAAATTTTACAGAAATCTTCTCTTCTGAAAATACTGGGCAAATTGGAATAAAACTTGGGCACAATTATCAATGGGATACATGTGTCTAGTTTAAAAAGTGTGATTCTGCTTGCCAACCAACATGACCGACATGCATGGCTAAAATAGAACATGAGGGTAAAATGCACTAGTTGTCTTAAAAGTATTTATTTTCGTTTTGCCTATTAGCTTGAAAACTTTAATAGGTATTTAGATAGAAAGAAACTTTAAACATCAAAACTGATCAGCAGGTGAAGATCTATAAATTTTTCAATCATGAGTGAAACTGGCTGTCAACTAATTATAAGAGTTATTGCCCTTTGAGGATAATTTTTCCCTATTTTTCCATTTTTGGCAAAAACTTTCGTTTATAAAAAAAACCTATTAACATAATAAATTATCAGCAAGACAAGATCTACAATGGGACTACCTAACGGAAGATGACTTTTTATATAATCATTGCCCTTATAAAAGGACAGTTTTAACCTTTTTTCATTTTTGGAAAAACATTATAGAAGATAGAAACTGTAAACAGTAAAATTAACCAGAAAGACACAATCAACAACACAAAAATGTTAGTCATGAATTATATTCTTGTCTATAATGTTGGAGAGTGGCCATTACTGAAAATGTATATAGATCTAAATAGAACTGGGAGGCTGAGCTTGCTATAAAACCATGTTAAACCCTCAATTGTTTTTTTCGGAAAAAGCCTGAACCGAGTCAGGATATGACAATTGTTTTTTCACTCGTTCCGTTGGTTGATAACGTTTGATTTTGTCAGTTTATATGGACGTTCAAATTTTTTGACTTACCTTGGAGATCGGTATTTTTGTTTTACTTATTTCCTAGAGCCCCTAGTTTAATGATAACATTGTCTTTTCATAAGTTAATTTTTTCAAATCGTTGCAAAATGAAAAGGGCTGAACTAATATAATAGTATAACAAAAACACCGAACTCCAAGGCAAATTCAACAAGGTAAAATCCATATAAACTGTCAAAATTAAACACTATCAACCTACGGAATAAGTGAAAACTACTGCCTTATTCTTGAATTGGTACGGGCATTTTCCGAAGATAATAAGAGTGGAACAGATCACATGTCGAACTGGATTTATAGAGAAGCAACCTGCATGATATACAATTTTGTATTGGTTTTCCACTCTGTTAATTTCATGGAGAAAATGCGGTTCCCCGTGTTTACAGAATCAAAAACTTCATGATCAGTTTAAATATATTGCCTTTTGTTGTAAGGAATATTAACACATTTTCCTTCTCTCTTAAAAAATAAAATGTGACTATCTGTTGAAAAAAAATAAAAACGTACCCCCCCCCCCTTTTTTGAATTCAAATGGTTTGTTCCATTACTTTTATTTTTTTCAGAGAAAGGTGATATCTCCAAATACGTGGTTGCCCCGAGACTTTGCTCGCAAACGTCTAATATACACACACCCGCACTGATGATTTCCATGATCGAAAAGCGATAAAAATGAATGTTGAACGCTAAATTTAAAAATAACGAAGTCGAAACATGATCAAACGTGAAATCAAAATCCACATTTCATTTGGTTGATTATTGATGATTAATGTTTATCGTGATTTTATTTATATTATTTTAATGATAATGTTTGATTTTGTTTCATTACCTCTTTGTCATTTTAGGTCATGTTTTCTTTCTGTTACCTTCTTCTTTCTTGTCCCTTTTCATCCTATTCCCCCCCCCCCCCCCCCCTAGTATCGGTCAACCAACTTTGGTGGTGTCGATTTTAGAATTTTTTCCTCATTACTCTATGAGACCATTTTTTTTATTCAGGAGTAAACCCCTGTAAATGAATTCCGTATAGTGTGAACATGCACGAGCGTGAAGTATTTATTGAGATATGTATATGCCAAACAATGGTACAGAGAAAATGTTACTGCTACGAAATGGGTAGTTTACAAAGAGAAAGTTAAAATCATCACATTATTGATATATTCTGTATTCTATGAAACGGATTAACATTGAATTTGACTAGTTGAAGAAGATCACGAATCGGTTTATCATTAACACATGAATGTGTCAGAAATGATCATATTTATTCAAATACTTGTATATTGAAAATTTTAAAATACTCTCGAGTAATAAGTGAATAAAAGACAAATATGAAATAACTGAAAAAATTCTTTTCCTATAGGTAAACAAAGAAGAGGCAACATATGTATTCCGATATCAAAAACTCGTAAAATCTTTTTCAATGTCCAAATCAAGATGAACAATTGAGGGATTTGCACGAACTCAAATTGGTGTAAGACTTGTTGCGTTTACAGGGTAATGATCCATTGATACACGATTTACACCCATAATCAGTGTGCTGTTTTTTATATCTCAAATGTTATGTTAAAATTGGTGCAGACATCCAAAAAATGACCGTTTCCTTTTGTTGTTAAGATTGGGCAATTAAATTATCATCTATAAATAATGAATTGAAGCATTTGTTTGACAGGACAAAAATTGACAAACTGGCGTTTTGAGATATACATTTTTTATAACAATAGGCATTGCCGTAAAACATGTGTAACTCTAATTGACTATTACATACTTGTTAAAATTCAGGCATAGTAATAATTTCAGGTCGTTCCAGAAGATGATGAAAACGATAGAAAAAAAAGGGACCCTAAGGTAAAGGAGTTTACATTTGTTATTGATATGCAAACGAAATAGTAGAATAAAGAATAGACTTATAAACAGAAATGAAATAGGACAAACAAAATAATAATGTAGGAAATTTGATCAAAAAAGTCAAAAGATAGAAGATGCCTATTAGTAAGTATTTTTTTGTTAATCTTGTCACTTCCAGATGTCTGGTTTCTAGGTTGACAGTGACAGATCCAAAATCTGTAATTTATTTGAAGATATACCTTCATATTCAAAATTGGTATTTTTAATCACACCAAGGCCGAATCACTATCCACACAGTGGATGGCACTACCGTTTATGGATGATGCACTATTAGGGGAACCAATCTAGGTGTTGGAAGGTTTATTTTTTGTTTCTTATGAAAGTGATAGAACGAACATACAAATGTATAAGGTTTATGTAAGATATACACTACAGGTTTTAGTTAGCTTGTTAGTTTGTTTTCGGGAAAGAACTGTGCAAAAGTCTTAAAAAAACGGAAATTCGATGTCATTAAGATATTTGTTAGTCAATCCTTTCATATCTTGGTTGTTTTACACAGTGAAGGCTCATATCATATTTTCTTTACCGTGAAAAAAACTATACTACCTCTCATCTAACTTATATGAATCTGTTGTAAGTGTTGTGAGATATAATTGATATATGCTTTGTATATTAGTACACAATTTGTTTTCAGAAGAAGAAGAAGAATGATAAAGGCGACCATCAAAATTCCAACCGCTTTTCAGAAAGCAAAAATTTTATACAAACCATAGCAGACGTCTCGCTTATGATGGCAAATATTTCACAGTTAAGAGCAGTTTTATTTTTAGGAAACAAATACCAATTTTATATTCACCTCCTAACACTAATCGTTGTTTCGTTAGTGTCACACGTATTGTTCGTTTTATTCACTGTGATTAGATCGCATTTTAATTACAAACACCGTATTGCAGTGAGCCGAGCAAAAGCAAATGCAATCAACAAGAAATCATTTAAGTTCTGCTGTTGTTGTAAAACAAAGTATAGACGTACCGAATTCATTGACAGCGATCTGTGTCAATGTCCACATTGCCGCACCGATCTTTATATGCACTATGTCTGTTACTTTCTAGTTTTCATTACAATTTGTGCTAATATTGGGATAACAGGAATTGGAATTTCAGGAGACTGATAGCCTAAGGATTAAGTTATTTTTAAAATGACAAGGATGTGAAGTGAACTGCTATATATAAAATGATTGACCTCAATCCTTAGTACCTGAATGGTGTTTTGTTTAAGTTTTTACTTATTAACTTTATAATGTTATCAAATTTTTTCCCCAGGCAACTTTTCTACTGATGTAAAATTCGACTCATTATCATAATATATCAAGATGACTAAAATCATTATTTAAAAAAACCTTTGTGTATTTGTTGTGTCTGAATTGCTTTTCTTGTTTTTAAACAAAGACCATTGAAAAGCAAGGATGGCTATATTTATAATTGTACACCTCAGAAAATATGTGAACTAAATCGAATGTCCATATCCACCTTAGGTCAACTATGCCGGAGGTATTTTGAATTATATATTCTCGATTATTTTAATTTATAGAGAATTCAAGAATTTCTGTACCAATAATCACGTCGACGCCGGAGCGGAAACTAAAAGTCCACTCAGTGCTAGAAAACGAAATAACACTTAATACAGTTCTCGGTACTAAAGCTTGAAGTAGTCAGTATATTAAAATAATCGGACTAACATTCATTAGGAGCACTCATACTTATAGCCAAATTCGTATTTTTCAAATTATTTATTTTTTTGATAACTGTATTTAAATGTTTGTTTACTGCAATGTATATTATTTCTATTGTACAATCATAAGCATAGTATTTCTATTCGTCAGTCATTTTGTGATATCGAATTCTCATTCATTATTTCTTCTTTTGTATTGTTTACTCTGTAGTGTGTTTACGTTTGCATTTTTAATGATTAAAAGTTTAAGAATTCTTTATGTTTTTTTAGGCGTAAGATGACTAAACGAATATTTTTTTTCTTTCTAAACAATGGGGACAGTTAAATCCATGAAGGGTGAAAACAGAAAAATAGGGAAACACAGAGCGAAACGTAACGAAACGGAACACAACAAAACGAGACGACACGAAACAAAAGATTAAATAAAATAACATAAAAAAGGAGGCATGGAACGCACTCTAACAAAACAAACATGTATTTCAAGAAACGACATATATAAATATGACAAACGCTTGAGCCATGTGTACTTTTCCGTTTTTGTGTTCTTGTTCATAACAACACTATTGCATAGTGAAAGCAGTTTAATCCAGACACTTTCTTTAATTTCTTTAAACCAAAAGAACAAAAAGATTTTTCAGTTTATTTATGTGACCGTTCCAAGCCAGGAAAGTAAAGCATAAAATATTGTCTGATAGTCCAGCAGATCGGTGACAAAATTTTATTGATGATAAAAGCACCAAATTTGGCATGGTAGTAGTTCTGGGTGTTGCCAACAATATTAGCTATGTACCCACCTTGGCATTTCAATATGTCGGCTATATCCAAGATGGCCGCACTAAGATATCAAAATCAACATATATCACTTATATAAGGTCATATTTAAGGTAAAATTTGGCATGGTAGTAGTGCTGGGTGTTTTCGAAAATTTGCTTTGAACACACCTTGAAATTTCAATATGGCGGCTCTTTCCAATATGGCCGCCAGAAAATATCAAAATCAACAAATTTCCCTTATAGTAGTTCAAATTTGTCATATTATTAGTGCTGGGTGCTTCGAACAATACAAGCCATGGACCCATTCTGAAATTTCAATATGACGGCTTTGTCCAAGACGGCCGCCATAAGATATCAAAATCAACACATATACCTTATAGAAGGTTACAAAGTGTTTTGTTTTGACGTAGCTTCACTAAAACTAAGTGCCCTATAATACCAAGTGTATGCCACATTCATATACTAAAGCCAACCATCGAAAGTATAGAAAATCGTAACTAGGGTACAGTTCTTGCAGAACAGTAGTCTACATCGAGGGATCACGTATAAAAAACTGGCGTTATTCCGATATTTAAGCTAGACCTAACTAGAATGTTTACTTCTCGACTCGAACAGTTTTCTTCAAGATCAACTGGAAGAGAACACAGACATGATCTAAAAAAAATGCAGTAATAAACAAGGCATATGCTTGCTTATTCTGTTTAATGATTATTTTTGTCGCTGCATTTAAGCAAGCAAACGCAACAATCTGTTTGCATGACAACGACACTTGAAAAAGCTGCAATTGCGGGTAGTTAAAAAAAAACATGATGTAGGCAAAAGTATTTTTTTTATAATTACCGTTTTATGGACATGCACTCTATCAATTGTCTAACCAGAAATACAAATATGTCAATCTGGTACAATTAGTCAATTGTGCAACTCTAGATCTATCCTTGCATGGTTAAAATAAGTTAAAAAAATGATAACACAGATTGCTTGATGCAGATGATAATGAAAACATTACATATGTCTGGATAGCACTCCACGCATGTAGAGCCAAGAAAAATTGTGATCTGTTTTTATATATAAGTCCATATTGACCAATGTTCCAGGAAGAGACTAAATCACAGCAATTCGACATTCCATAAATACCATCTAACAATGTATTAAATTTGTCATAGTTTTGTATCAATTATCACTTGTAATCAATCGTTTTGTTAGCGGAACAGTGGAACTGGGCAAACATATTTCTAGCAGAACAAAGAATAGTTTTGTTTAAGGTCTTCATATAGATATTGCATCGTTGAGTATCTTATATGATTGGTTGGAAAACAGTGGTTGAACAAGTGTTCAATCAAGGAAACATAGTTGTCAATATAATAGAATTATATGCGACTGTTATACAAGTGAGAGGTTTAGCTAGCTTTAAAACCAGGTTAGATCCACCATTTTCTACAGAAGAAAATGCTTGTACCAAGTCAAGAGTATGACAGTTGATTTCCATTCGTTTGATTTGTTCGAGCTTTTGATTTTGCCATTCTAAAAAGTACTTTCCGTTGTGAATTTTCTTTGGAGATCGGTATTTTTGTTACTTTACTTTTTACAGGCGTCATCAATAGTAGTATCTTTTTTAGAGACTCTCGTGTATCATGAACAAGACATGTTCATGAGGTTACAGTAGGTGTACTTCTCATTCTTAAGCAAATATCATGACATAATTTTTATTGAGGAACGAGACCCTGATGAGAACTGTGTAGCATTCAAAGAATTGAGTAATACGTGGAAACTGAGAGTCCACCTACTCACAACTGGCCTGTAACATTAAAGACTGAACTGGACATGTTGATGTGAGATCTGGTCCTTCTGGATGTATATAGATTCCATTATACTCTTTATTCATTGGTTCTTTGCATTTTTCCATCCAAATTATGGCTTACAGTACTCGTACGCGATGTTATGCCTTTTAACTATACAGTTTAAGTGTTGCAAACGTAATTTGAAAATAGTAAATGATCAAGCCCATGAGTAGAATTACACATTTGTGAAAGGAGAAGGTGGGGGCAATCATATTGACCATCAATATCCACAAACTACAGCACTTAATGGTGTTTTGTTTAGAAATGGCCATAGTAATTAACAAGTTTCAATCCACCTTTGAAATAATATAAGGTAAGCCACACAATGTTCTACATCAGGAACAGTAAGCAACCACACAACATTCTCAAAGCAAGTGAAAGATTACGGCTGGGGAATGATTCGCCCGTTTCCCGAGAGTACTACTTCGACTGACTGTGGATGGCATATACCATATTGGACATTTATCACAAAGGTATTAGTATTTTAAAATGAGCTAATAAAATGTGGTTATCAGATATAAAACGAATGTCACGGTAGATGAAAATGCGCGAGGACAATGATGTAATGTACGGTGCTGTTTCAAATGTTGTTGAGAGTGGGACAAAGACTTAATCAGCTGTCATAAAGAAACATTTTGAAAAATGCATTGAAAATATGTTGTTGTTTAGATGATAAAAAAGATGGGAAGATACTTAAGCACTAAATATTATTAGTAAAAACAAAATCAGATAGGAAAATGGATAAAAAACGCAAAAAATGCTAACAGCAGTCAAGAAATCACTACACAAAGATCTAAAAATTGATCAACGCCAACTCCACTAAACACCGGGGGTGATTCCATGTGCTCAAGAAGGGTCAGCAGTTCAATGTTCAACCAGTGACACTTGGCTTGGTGCTCTTGTTTAAATACATTGATGGGTCATATCCAGTAATAAGGCATATATCATATAATAGTGGATTTATAAATGTCTCTTTACTCACCCTTAGAATCACAAAATTTAAAACATGTAAAAACTACTGGTACATGTAAAATTATATAAAACTTGATCGAATATGAACGTTTGAAATCAAATTAGGTTTCCTGTGCCAGTACGATGGATAAACAAGACTGGTTGACAAGACAGACATTGAAAAATAAAGAACAAATAACACAACATTGGAAGTATAAACAAGACAAGTCCCTTTTCATCAAAACTAGGGGTCAACGCAGGTGAAAAAAAGGAATGTGGCAAGAAGAAGTGGAACGTATCCATTATCATTTGTGACTCAGATGGTACATAACGGTAAAAGAAATCCTGATGGCGTCCTGAAAACGTTCAAACGTTCCCATTTATGTGATATCTGCTTAAATTGCTTTGCAAACAGCGTCCATATATCATGGAAATTCAATTCCTAGAATATTGTATGAACTGCAAAATGCAGTTCGAAAGATGGAATATCAGCAAAGCCTTGTCTTACTTTTGTTCATTTTCACTTTTTGGCGGCCATTTTGAAATTTTCCTTCATTTTGAAAAAAAAAATGAAAAGTCTAATATAACATCATGACTTACTAGAAACGTTGGATTACATTTTATATGTTTTTAAAAGATTGGGTTTGAATATTATTTGCTTTTAATTATACATGGTTGTGAAATTTGGACTGATTAGCACACATCTTGAAAATGGCCGCCATTTTAGATTTTTCAGAGTGGGTTCATAGCTTAAATTGACAACCAAACATCTATCTACAATTGTGCAAAATTTGATGCTTTTATAATCAAACCCACAATTCTTCTAAAAATATACACGAATCAGCTGGACTATGAATGAAATCATTCTTCTGTCTCTTTAAAGTGTGTCAAAATCAAATCACACTGTTGTTATTCGTACTAGACTATCAGTAACATCATGAATCCACCTATTTTAACATTTTAAATTATATTCAGTTCAAAAATAAACTAAAATTCAACAAAAAAAACCGAACTCCTACTTGTATGACAGTGTTTATTGTTAATAGATATTGACAAAATTGGGTGAGCAATCCGCTGGGTGATCTGACGATTTCCGCCTTTTGAACTGGTTTTTTTGGTTGTTATTCTCAAGTTGTGCCTAACAACAATGTCCCAGGTCAGGGAAGAGATACTCCCTTACAAAAATGTTTAAGCTCGAGAAATTCTGGATGTGCCTGAAATACAGTGTTTGTCGTTGGTTGCCGTTTGTCGTGTTTGTTTTGTTGTTCTTTTGTACATAAATGGCTTTTTTGGTTGAACTGTGTTATATTTTGTCATTGTGGGACCTTTAACAAATTACTACACGGTATGGGTTTTACTCATTGTTAAAGGCCATGTAATGACATCCAGTTGTATACCTAAACGTCATACCTTTGGCAACGGAAGCACATTTTTTAAATTTTATTTCTCAAATAAAGAATGAAATATGAAGGCTGATTGAAGTGTCTAAGGAAAAAGTAAAATAACAAAAATACCGAACTCCGAGGAAAATTCAAAATGGAAAATCCGTTATCAAATGGAAAAATCAAAGCTCAAACACATCAAACGAATGGATAACAACTGTCATATTTCTGACTTGTTACAGGCATTTCTTTTTAAGAAAATGGTGGATTAAGCCTGGTTTTATAGCTAGCTTAACCTCTCACTTGTATGA